TCCTTTCAGACACCAGGATTGTGGATCACGGAGAAGGTTTCTACCCGGGAATGTCGATCCCGTGTGCCGACAGCTTCTCCGGCTTCTGCGTTCACGGGAAATGTGAGATCAACAAGTACAACATGGCCACCTGCAGGTTTGTAGCGGCCTCTGCTGCAAACGTTTCAAACAAATACATAAAAATGAGTTAAAGTTAATGGATTTCATCAGAAGTGTGGTGGTAAAAGTACGAAATGTCAAAGTTTAAATCATGAAACAAAAAGTGTGTAACATGTGACATCACACAGTCGTGTTGTGTGTCCGACTCAGATGTGACGCAGGATACAAAGGTCCTCAGTGTGACGAGCCTCAGGACTTCAACATCCTCTACGTGGTCCCCAGTGGACAGAAGCTGCACTACGTCCTGATCGCCGCCATCATCGGTGCCGTGCAGATCGCCATCATTGTTGCCGTAGTGATGTGCATCACAAGGTACTCAAGTGAAAAGAAAAAAATAGTGTTTAAAGTTTTAGTTGTCAAATATGTATGTCTTTACGTCTCATTAAAATACTTCAGTTCAGTTCATTTTTATTTCAAACATTTCAAACATTACAAAATATCCATTATGTGTTTGAAAAGGAGCAGAAGTATTTACTTATTTGTCCCCCTCAAGTTTTACCTCTCATTCATTTAATTTTCTTTTAGTCTTAAATTAAACAACATATGAAACAAAAGTAAAGCAAAACAAAACAAAACATACATAAATCAAAAACAAGAAATTAGCAACCACCACAGTTTCTTTCATATGAAAAATACAGAATGTGTAACTTTGCAGATTCACAAGTTATGGAAAAACAAACAAACCAAAACAGAACCACAACACCAGCAACATCACCGTCCTGGGTTAACCCCGTTTTCTTCATTCTTATACTTATTTAAAATTAGGTTTTTATATTTTACTGGTTTATGTTTTTACTTTTATTTCTTCTGTTAGACTGTTCCATAATTTAACTCCTGCAATTGAGATAGACATCGTTCTTAAAAAGTGTTAATTGATTTTAGTCTTTAGCATTTCTGCTTGATTTTGTGTCCTTACAGTATTTATCAAAAGAGCGACATTTCTTTCACAGGAGCCACAACACTGTAACAACAGTAGTAGCGTGTTAATTATTTTATACTTTACTAGAAAAATAGATGCAGCGAGTTGAAAGAAACATGAAATCACAGTAAATAAGGCAAAAACAGAGTTTGTACAATGTTTAGTGTGGTTGGTTTTCCTGCAGTGGCAGTGTGGATCATTGGGATCATTACATGCTAATGAAAAACCTGATGGTAACTTTCTGCATTAATACACCATCAGCTGTGACGATCTCCAACACGAC